GGGCATAATACGTAAACAAACACTCAGACTTGGCCTCAGCTAGCAAGTAAGCACTTCAACTTGCTCTCAACTGACAAATAAACACTCCAACTCATGGACACTCAACCCAACGCTGACATGACGTATAAATTTTGAAGGTATCTAGATGATCATTTTGTAAGTTGGAGTGTTCAACTAATACAATAGAGATGAGTTGAGGCAAGCTTAGATATGCATACTCAAAGTTGGAGTGTGTTTACTATTGTCAGCTGAGGTCAAATGTGAGTGTTTGTTTATGTAATAAACCTTGTTTTTTTTTCTTTTCGCTACGCAATAATCAAAATATATTAATGTACTTGTGAACTTACCAGAAAATGCTTTGAAAGGCAATAAGGTCTAATAGTACAAATGAAATGAGAGTCACTGAGATCCATGTCCTTAGCAGCTTCTTTATTAGAGAACCCCTTGCCTGAAAACAGGATGAAATTCAAAGAAAAAACTATTCAACTCTCCAAATAGTAATACCATCACATAAAATAGGACGGAAGGAGTACTAGTGATGAGAAACTTGCCTTGAAACTTACTTATCGGAGTTTCTGCATTACTAGTAACTCGAGATCTCCATATTGGTGTCTCTCCATTAGTAACGACCTCAAACATTATACGATCTCCTTCTTTTAAGCAATTATCAGCACTGAATTTTCCCCATCCATCCGCAACATAAACTTTAGTGTTGCAAGACTTAAGCATTAAGTTCCACAATTTTGTTTGTGTTTCATCAATTATAATCAAACCATACTTCTTGTTACCCTTGATGAAACCATTTGCAACTGCAAAATGTTTTGGAATCCACTAACATGGTGTATAGCCAATTACACACATTAGTTAACAGTTCAACTGTAATTTATTGTATTTGTGGTATATTACATCAACAGAAAGTACTTACCAAGAAACCTTTCGAAAGGCAATATTGTCTAATAGTGCATTCAAAATATGATTGATTTAAATGCTTGTCATGAGTAACATTCTCATCCTCATCCTCGTCCTCGTACTTTGCATACTCTTTGTCACAATGATGACTCGAATCGAATATGGACACATCAAATTTCATATCTCCTTCATGTTTGAACACTAAAACATCTCCCAATTTCAAATTAAGTTCCTCTACAAACTCTTTCCAACTACCCTCCTCTAATCGCCACCCGTTCGCCTTCACCAACCACTTCTTACCACCTCTTGTCAATATTGCATGTTCATGTTGATCATGTCCCTTAAGATACTTCAAAAAACCTATAGGAATTTTCTATAGTACAACAAATTAATCAATTAGACAATGTTCATTATAAGATTATACATATATTGCTAAATACATAAAGCATACTATTATTGGTGCTAATTACATGTTGAAACAAGAAAAATATTATTTCGAATACATGTATCTGACGAAGTAAATACATTTTTTTTAGTGTTACTTACAAGGCCATTCTTGAAACCTGGTAGAATGGGCTTGAAAAAGTGAGGTTTCTTTGGAGGGATTTCCATGGAACACCTAAAAATGTAATTATTGTAGAAAATGTTTTCTTATTTTAGGGAAGATTTAAATGTAAGAATAATATTGGAGGGGGGAATTATATAGTTTTGTAACTTGTAAGGAAAGTTAGAAAGTTTACTATTATTGATGGAATTAAAATGCAGCGGCTTTTCATATTCAGGGGACATATATATTAGTCTAACAATTTAAAATTTTGAGTTTATTAGTTTTGAATTTTAGAAAAAAGTATTTATTAGAATTTAGATATTTATTAAGTGAATTTCTTAAAACTAATACTCTAATGTTTTGGCCGAAATTATTGGGTTGTAATGAACCATCAATAAAGTTGACACATGAGTGACTCTGATATTATCTATAATGGCTCGGCCTCTTAACGATATCATAGGCGAATCCAAGATTTAAAGATTACACCAATATTAACTTAAGTTAGGTGTTAGCGAAACTTTCCATGACAATTGTACTTTACTTTGTTATAATATGAGGTTCTAGCCGGGATAGAACCCTAGCAAGCTACGGGTAGGTGCTTTGGTTTGTATTAACGACTCAAGTGCATTTTTATGCTGCCCATGGGTGCACTGTTAATTACTCCATATTTTAGTTTCTGCTAGTTTCTAAAGATGGATATACATAATTTTTTCCGAAGTTAGTGGGTGCACGCTCAACCTTACCTATACATGTGGGTCCGCTTTTGAGTGATATTGTTTCCAATAGGTAGGTCCGCACAACTTTAAAACACGTTAATAAGATGTAAGACTTGCTTATTTATGCATATCTAATATATCTATTGTATTTTATCAATATGAGATTTTATCCTAAACCAGGGTGTCACGTATCAAGTGATCAAATATTTCTATAAACTCATTTCCGTTCAGAGTTGTCGAGCTCAGTACCAATTTACTCTTAGATATGCTATACTATGACTTTACTATTTTAGGTTTGATCTTTTAGATAATTAATCTCAACATAACTTATTTTTAATCAAACGACTTCGAAAGTGCAAAATTAAAGGGTATATATATATATATATATATATATATATATATAATAGTATAAAGTCATAATTATAAATTTCTCTGGTCCTTTGTCTGATTGAAAAGGTGTCAACTTTCTAATTCTGGAAAGCTGCCTTTGGAATACGTAAGGTACTGTCCTCCCTACAAAATCAAATAATTAACATCTATATAGAGAACCTATAATTATCCTTATCACGTTGGTTTAAGTTTTGAGTATGAAATTTTGTTTAATAGGGAGCATTTTTTCTCAAATGAGGCTTTACGCGGCTCATATTTAAAATAATTGAGCTTTAATATTGATATTGAATATTAGTCGTAAAACAAATTACAATATTCTTCTTATATTATTCGTGTGAGTTATTATCCTTGAAAATATATATTTGATCAATATGAAAAAACTAGGTGACTAATTTATATTCATGGTTAAATTAATTAATCAAAATAAATTAATTCATATTCATTAATGAAAAAGTTAACTTAAAAAAAATAAAAATAAAAATAAAATAGTAAACTTACTTAATTTCTTAATACATTTAAAATTAAAAAAAATTGTGACAGACAAATAGGAACAGAAGGAGTATATATCATTTCTAAAAATATTCAGCACATCACATATTTTTAAATTAAGGAGACAGTTTAGCCTGGGGCTAGAGTTATTAGTTATTTTAACTTTTCTTATATAAATAAAATAATGCATTTTCTTAGAATTTATACTCTCTTCGTTCCTAATTACTTATTCATTTTTGAATTGGTACACCTATTAAAAAAAAAAAATTGACATAGTGAGTTTACTATTTTACCCTTATTAATTATGAAGTGGATAAATTAAAAACTTAAGAGTTTTAAGAAGTTCTACATTTGTCAAAGTATTAATTGATGGTATAATAGGTAAAAAAAAAATTGTTCTTTCTTGATTTGTCAAAATGGACAAATAATTAAGGACAACTAGAAAAAAAAGTTGATAAATAATTAGGGACAGAGAAAGTATTATAGTATTAGTTATGTAAATCTTTTAATTGCTTATCGAATAATGTACTAGATGTTGGATTTTATACCAGGTAGAAAAATAATATTAATATTATAACATATTTAATGTATAAATAACTTAACTCTTGATCAAATGTCGAACGATCAATTATTAATTTTGCACGCCATTCAAAGAGATAAACTCTGCTCTTCTTAATCTAATAATAACTTTTTCTGCTCTTCTTAATCTAATTATAACTTTTTATTTTATGTATTTAAGCTTGATTAGACATGAAATTTAAGAAAGAAAAAAAATATTAAATTTGTACTTTTAAATTTTAAATATGTAGTATAATAAATAAAACACGTTTTGTAGTACAACAAAAAAATTAAATATTCTTAATAAAAAAAATTAGTTTCACCATGGCTCACAATATAGGATAAAATATTTATCAATAAAAATATCATCTACGCTCTTTAGCTTTGTAAAATAAAAATATCTTGGGAGGAATTGTATTACTAATACACACATAAATACACAATATAATATATAATTAATTATATATAAATTAAAAGTAATACTAAATAAGATATTAATAATATACTATAAAACTTAATATTCTTTTACTACGCTTTACCATCTAATATGAGATGTGTCAGTATTATCTAATATGAGACGGAAAAAATAACTTAAAATAAAACGGCAGGGAAGAGGGAGTCACTAAACATGGTAACATTTATTGCAATAATATTGATGTACACCATTATTATTTATTTATTAGCATTGGATAACACTGTCCTCTCAGAATATGAAAAGCAACTTGCCTATTATTATTATTATATATATATCGTCTCCGTTTTAAATTATTTATCTGATTTTTAATTTAACATAAAATTTAAGGAAATTAGACATTAAATTTAAGATAAATAAAATATACTAAAATATCTTTAAATCTAATAATTTTAAATATATCAGGTGATAAAATAGATTAAAAAATTGCTTAAAAGAAAAAAACATACTTCTTATAAAGAATTAAAAATGAAAATAAGACAGATAAATTATAAATCGGAGTGAATACTTCTATTAATAACTTTCCCTTCGACTAAATTCATTCATTTTTTTTCTAAGGAAAAACAAAAAAGAACACACATGAAAGTCCCTCCCAAGAAACCTCATTTTTTCAAACCAATTCTACCAGGATTCAAAAATGGACTTGTAAGTAGTAATTCTTTAAATATATCATCTCTTATGAATAATTTATTTTAATTTCAATTAAGATTTATTTGTTATGTTGTAGAAAATTCCTATAGGTTTCTTGAAGTATTTGAAGAGACACGATCAATATGAACATGCAATATTGAGAAGGAAGGGTAAAAAATGGTTAGTGAAAGTGAATGATCGACGATTAGAAAAGGGTAATTGGAAAGAGTTTGTAGAGGAACATGATTTGCAATTAGGAGATTTGTTGATTTTCAAATATGAAGGAGATATGGAATTTGAAGTTTCCATCTTTGATTCAAGTCATTGTGATAGAGAATACGTAGAGTATCTTTACGAGGACGAGGACGAGGAAGAGGAAGAGGAAGGGACTACTCATTTTGAATGCATTGTTAGACCATATTGCCTTTCGAAAGGTTTTATGGTAAGTCTCAAAATTACTCTTTTAAGAATTTTTAGGCTAAAGTAATACCATATAATATGAATTATTTTGTGTAAGTAGTATTACTTTGTTATGAGCGGAGCTAACTTGGGACTAGGGGTTTATCTGAACTTCTACGGATGAAAAATTATATTATTTATATATTATATATTGAAATTATTTTTTATCTATATAGAATAGATGTTGAACCCTTATAATTTGAAGAATATGGACTGTTTGTTTGCACTTATAATATACACCATTTCAGATACTGCCTCAACAATTTGGAATTGCAAATGGTCTCACCAACAAGAAGTGTGCGTTGATTGTAAGAGATGAAAGACAAAGGTCGTGGAATTTAAAGCTAAGTTCCAGCAGTATTCGTGCTCGAGTCTATATTGGAGGTGGATGGCGTAAATTTGCTGAGGAAAACTTTTTAAAGGAAGGAGACCGTTTAATGTTTGAGATTGTTACTAATGGAGAAACACCAATATGGAAATTTCGAGTTGTTACTCATGGAGAAACTCCAATGAAAAAGTCTCAAGGCAAGTTCAACTTATTTTTTCAACTTTTTATTTTCCATGTTTAGCCATTTTTGCCTGAATTTTATGCATATATATATGTATTACTGAACTTTTAAATATGTGGTATTTGAAGTTAAATTTGACAAATATTAATTTTAAACTAAATATTTGAAATTTCATATTATTAAAGTTCTAACTTTTATCTCAGATGAGGATGAGGACGAGGACGAGAATAAAGATGAGACTACTTATGACAAGTCTTTTGGTCAACCTCATTTTGAATGCATTATTAGACAATATTGTCTTTCGGAAGGTTTTATGGTAAGTCTAAAAATTATTACAATTTTAAGATTTTTTAGGCTAAAGCAATATATACCATAGGAATTATTTTGTGAAGTAGTTTACTCTGTCATGAGTTGAGTTAGTTTGGGGCTAGAGATTTATTCAAATTTCTGTCAGTGAAAAATTACATTATTTATATATGACTGAAATTACTTTCTATCTATATATAATAGATGTTGAACTCTATTAAGTTAGTTCAAATATATTTACTTTTTCGTATTTTAAAACTTTAGTAAAGTTTTTAACTCGACTAATGTCATTCCTCAAAATTTCAGTGTTTTCCATCTTGCAAGAAAGAAAAAAATGTTTTAGCTTAATTTAATTTTGTTTGTCTATTTTACCCATCAAAGATTTTTTTACGCTTTGTATCTGTCTTTATCTGAATTTTTCATGAGAGAATTCCATTTTCCTCATAAAAAAACTATGTACTAGTTTTTTTTTTTTGTCAATATCTTCACGTCATCTTTTTTTCTTATGAGTGTCTTATCCTTTATTAATTGGTGTTATAAATTTGGTGTAAATTTGAAGATTAATAGCCTATTTATTTGCATTTATATACACCATTTCAGTTTCTGCCTCAACAATTTGCAATTGCATATGGTCTCACCAACAAGAAGTGTGCGTTGATCTTAAGAGATGAAAGACAAAACTCGTGGAATATAAAGCTAAATTCCAATGGTAATCGAACCTATATTGGAGATGGATGGCGTAAATTTGCTGTGGAAAAGTATTTAAAGGAAGGAGACCGTATAATGTTTGAGATCGTTACTAATGGAGAAACACCAGTATGGAAATTTCGAATTGTTACTGATGGAGAAACTCCAATGAGGAAGTTTCAAGGCAAGTTTCTCATCTTAATTATAAGTCTGTTTTATTATCGATATTTTTTTTTAAGTCAAGGGGATTCAATTTAATTGGTTCACCCTTATTCACTAACGGCGAAACCAAATGATGTTTATTTTATAACAAAAACTAATATTTTAATTATTTTCATCATTTTTTTAATTTCTTGACATTAATGTAACAGAAAAATCAAGGCCCAACATCAAGTTGTCAAATAAGACTTCTTCCCATGCAGAAGCTGCTACTATTCAATCTCATTTTGAGTGCACCATTGCACAATATTGTATTTCAAGAGGTTATTTGGTAAGTTTCAAGACTCATTGAACGAGAAAATAGCCATAAAAAAAAAAAAAAACCTCAACCTATTAGTTAATTCTCAACTACACACGTATTCTATACGGGATCCTATTACCCCCTTGAACTATTTAAATATGGAATAATCACCTCCCTAAAAAGTCATAACCAGTTTTATGTCAAAGTTGTGCAGCACACGCGATGAATCACTGTACATTCATTTTTTTTCCTGTAAATTATAAACTTAATCAAAATAATAGTTTAATAATCCCCTAAAATTATGTAAAGTTTCCATTATTCTTTAGAGAATAATAAGAGAAAAATGAGTAAAAAATCTCTATACCAAATTAAAGAAGAACAACTTCATAACTAGTCTACATAAACTTTCAATTTGAAATCGAACACAAAACAAAAATTTACAATAAGTATTCACAAATGTGGGAGTGAAAAACAAATTTGGTAAGAATGAAATTAGAAAGTGAAATTTCAAATTCACCATTGTTGGTTCATTGTGGTTTGACTTTTTTTTTTTTTTTTTGCTGATATTACGAGGGGTTTAAGAAAAAACTTAAACTCCATTTTTGAGCTTCATATATGAAAGTTTCTTATGAGTTAGGTGATTGTTGTTGCTAAAAATGGTTGATGTATGATTAACTAAGCATAAATCAGTAGCTACAAACTGAGTTGGAACTCCTAGAGACGAAATTTAGAAGATCACCATTGGAGGACATTGAGAAAAACTTGAAGAAATCATGAAATGGGTATAATAATTTTGTGGTATAAGAAAAGGGAAAGAATTAAAAAAAAATGAATTAATTATATAGTCTCCAATGAGAGACTGACACATGGACTATTTAATTCAATTTTAGTCATTATATGTCTTTGTTGAACCCTTGCGTGCCTACAAGAGGTGTATTCACCTTCTTGGACAGATCAGCATTTAAGGGTCACAAAATATCAAAAATAAAAAATTTACGAGGTATAGGACCCCCGTGAAGTATAAGTGTGTAGTTGAGAATTGACTAATAGGTTAGGGGGATATTTCTGTCATTTTCTCCTCATTGAACTTAAGAAAGTATTATCTTGGAGAATATTTTCTCGTAAGATAGGTGAGTTTCTTGCTTATTTTCTTGTGCTTGATAAATAAACAAAAAATATTTTATATAATCTAGATAAACACTATAAAGAATGTACAGGGAAAGGGACTATGTAGGTGGGAATAGGGGACTATGGGGGTAGAGATGGATTGGAGGTAGGGGGTGTTGAAGCACTGAGAATGAGACGATTAATGTGAAATGTCATTAACATGGAAAAATTGAAAAATATTTTCTAAAAAAAGTATTCCCGCCATATTAAAACACACCCTTGGGGTTGTTTATTTTTTAGTAAAGAAGCAACTTAATTATACATTTATTAATTATTGTATAAGTTACACAATGTTTAATAGTTGGTTAAGAAATAAGTTATTCATGTATAAAATTTATAGACGATGTTTAGCTTACAATTTATAAATCCGCATAACTAACACATATATACGTTACGAGGGATTTATTGAATTATTATCTTATGCAGAAGTAAAAAATGAAATAACTAATACCTATACATTACTAATACTCACATAACTAATATCTGCACAATTCTAACCAGCTACTAAACGACCCGAAAATTTACTTAATAAGCAATTATTGCAAGTACATCTCTATGGTACACATTAGTTAGAAACCCCTAAAAAAGGTAAACCTACAAATTATCAAATAATCTGAGCATATAGGACTCGAAAGTTATCTTATATTGTTTTTTTATTTGCTAATTAGAATTCTATTTAGTGCAAATACAAAGAACATGAAATGTTTAACATTTATGTGTGTAATGGTATACATCATTTCAGTATATCCCTAAACAATTTGCATATTCGAACGGTCTGAACAACAAGAAATGCGATTTGATTATAAGAGATGAAAGACAAAGATCGTGGAATTTAAAGTTTCGTTATTGGAGAACTGAAGTCAATATTAGAGATGGATGGTATAAATTCATGGTCGATAATTGCCTAAAGAAGGGAGATCGAATAATGTTTGAAGTTGTTACTAATGGAGAGACACCAATATGGAAATTTGAAGTTGTTACTAATGGAGGAACTTCAATGCACAAGTTTCAAGGCAAGTTTTCTTATCTTGGTCTAAAATGTTGTTTTTTGTATTTTAGTTTCATAATATAGCAGAATATATCGTATTTATGCCCATAAATAAGTGTATTCATGCGTATGTAGTATCTCTATAGTGAATATATTGTATTCACGCCCATAAATAAGTGCATTCATGTGTATGCAATATTTATAGTAAATAACTGTATTCATGTGTGTAGCAATAATAAAATACATTGTATCCACACATATATAAGTGTATTTGTGCATATACATCATATCTTTATCGGACTATATTCATGTGTATATCTTGTTATAAAATCCTAAACTATTGTTATATTTTGTAATATTTTAAAAACTACCGCTATTTCTAATAAATATAGAACTTTAGTTTGTTGTGTCACGTAATTTTTGTGTTTTTGAAACATGTCCACTTGTTATATTTTTCTTTTTATCCTAATTATTCCACTTTCTTATTATGTTTATTTCTCTTTTCTTTTATAATAAATAAACAGACATTAAGAAAAAGCCCTCAAATCCTCTGAATGCACAAGTATCTACTTCAACTTCTGGTGGTGATGATGATCATCCTTATTTTGTTTCAACCATCAAACCTTATTGCATCAGCAAGCCAATTTTGGTAAGTTATTTAAACTGATTTTATTTGGGTTAATTAAAATAATTATATACACTCAAAAGAAAAAAGAATTTACATTGTTAGTGTAATTTAACCTGTTATAGTAGGTTGTTTAATTTATTCGATTTTCTTATTATATTATTGTAGTAGGTAAAATAAAGTTATACACTTACCCCTAGTGTTTACACCTAACCTTGCAAAATTAACCTTAGTGATTAAAAATTTAATTGAGAATACATAATTACTAATTAATCAAGGTTAATTAACTGATAAATTAAATTTGTTATAAACATCAAGTGCGTGTGTACAAAACTTGAACTCTTTTTGTATAAGTCCTCTGTTTTTTTTTTATTTTTTATGATGATAACTGAAACTTATTTTGAGTTGAGAGTGGACTGTATTTTTACAAAATAGGAATAAAATCTCCGTATACATCACACTTTATAGACTCCACTCGTAGAATTGCGTTTAATATGTTATTTAACTTGTTCTACATGATGGAATTTGTTTTTTTCTTATGGTAGTATCTTCCATTGGGTTTTGCAAAGTCAAATGGATTGATGAATAGAAAGTGTGAGATGATTCTTAAAAATGAAGCACAAAGATGTTGGTCAGTTTGGCTTGGGAGGGAGTCACATCATTTTGGAATTATGAATGGATGGACAAAATTCAGAGAAGAAAATGGACTTCAAGTAGGAGATGCTTACAAATTTGAACTCATCAAGAATGGGAAAATACCTATAGCACAATTCCATTGTAAGTGTTCTTTCATCTATTTTTGTCGAGTTTAAATTTTATGTTCTGACTATTTTTATTTTTGAGGGGGGAGGTGATTTGGAGAAGGGGATATAGTGAGGAGATTCGAACTCCCACAATCCCACCACTAGGTTAAAGATGTCGGCAACTCCTCAACTGAATTACACCCCGCACTAAGTGAAAATATGATGACATGCAAAAGTATTACTATACATTTTTTTGGTCTAGTTTAAATTCTGCGCGCTAAAAAATTATATTTATAATTATACAAATAGATCACTTGTAAGGTAATTGTAAAATAAATCTCTATACAATTGTAGTTTCTTTTTGCTAACATTTCTCATAATTGTGTAATTATTCTTTTTATATAAAATAATGTTATAACATCCCTAGAAGATTTTGTAACTACTTTTTATATAAAATAATGTTATTTTTTGCAGGCAAATTTTCTGGAAAAGTTGCAAAGAGAGTGGAACATTGAAGCAACTCGACTTGTTAGTTGTATCAAAATTAATCTCACATTTTGGAATTTGATACTTATAAACTTCTTTTAATCAATTTGAGAAAATAGACAAATGCCTCCCTAACCTATTATTGAATTCTCAACTACACACTTATACTTTGCGGGGGTCCTATTACCCCCCTGAATTTTTCAAAAATAAAATATATACCACCCTAAAACTAGACAACCACATTCTCAACATGTAGTGATGCCCACTCGCTGCCAGTTGTTATTTTTATTATTTGTATTTATTTTTTCCTTTTTATCCTCTTTTCATTAATTACAAAAATATCTTTACTCTTTTATTCCTCCTTCTTCTTTTCTCTTTTGTTTTTCATTTACTTATTCCAAATTAGTCATCCATGAAAAAAATTGAAGCTATATTTATTATCATTTTTTCATCACTTTAAATCATCCTTCATGCACCTTGACGAGCTTGATTACTCATCTCTTTTCTTTTTTGAATTTTTTTATTATGTTGTTTCTTTGTCTTCATGACACCAAATTTGTAATATTTTATTTACGGGTTGTCGATGGTTAAATTCTTGGGTCTTCACCAAACAACAATAGAGATTGAAGATAAGATCTGATGGTTGATGTATTTTACTGACCTAAAATCGGTGAAAAGGTAGATTAATGGTGTTGATATTTTGAACTAATTTGAGATTGATAAAAATGAAAAAAGATGGATGACCCAGATCATGCACCCAAAACTCATGTTTAGTTTGCTTTATGAAATTCATCACCGAAAAAATTTAATTTATAGTCATAATTATTATTTTAATTCACTGAATTTCTTCAATAATTAAAAAAATTCAATAAAAGAATGTATTTTATGATGGAAGGTGTTTAATAATTCTATTTTTTTTAGGTTTTGTTTCTACTATCTTTCTTCTTCTGCCTTTTTTTTTGTCTTTACTTTGTGATATTTTTTTTTTTTGGAATAATGAGATTAAGGACGATTTGATTTTTCCGACAATATGAGTAATAATTCTAATAATTATTTGATGATTTGCCGTGTTAGTTGTAGAAAATAGTGAAATAAATTGTAAAAATATATATTAGAAGATGGATAAAAAGATGTGGTTAGTGTAGTGATGGTGGTTCAAGGTGGAGGAAATGGTGGTGGGGTGCATGTTGAGTAATGAGAAATAGAGGGGAAAAAAGAAAAAGAAAAAGAAACAAAAAACTTAAAGAGAAGAGTAAAAAATATATAATTAACAAAAAGTCAAATTAAAAATATTATTTATCAATTCTTCTGACTTTCACATGCCTCCAAGAGAGTGATGACACTCTCTGTGCCATGTTAGCATCTAAGGGTGTAATTATTCCGTTTTAAAATAGTCTAGGGGGGTGATAGGACTCCCGTGAAACATAAGTGTGTAGTTGGGAATTCGATAATAGGTTGAGGGGGCATTTGGCTATTTTCTCAATCAATTTCATGAACGTTCACAATGTATGAATGTGATAAGGAAATATATAAATGAGTAATTACGTATTTGAATATGAGAGTCGAAATTAATGATAGGTAGTTATAATTTGTTTATTCAGGTTTATTATTTTATATACGTTGATGTTGATGTGTATAATGATTATCAAATTAATGAATTTATTATATTAAGAGTAATAAAATAAAATAAATTAAATTACTTTATCAAGATATATATATTTTTGTCTTTAATTAATAATATTAATGAATTTTATTATTTCAAAAGAATAATAAAATGAAATTAATTAAACATGAATACACTGTGATTTCCGACTTATATTAAGTGATTTGATTAATTTAAATTTTCAAAATTAATTGCCCATGTATTCTGAAAATCCTCAATTACTCCTCTAATTAAGAAAATCAGTTACAACCAATTAATTTAAACAAATAAAATATGTACCTCGATTTTAAAATTCAGCATATATATATATATATATATATATATATATATAT